ACTGTAATCTTTAATTATAAAGTGTAATTACTTTAGGATGGATTATCAATGCCGGYGTCCGTCTGCGGGAGTTGCTTGGTAACGTCCCTGGAGCTGCAGCTCCTCCTGCTCTGCTCCTCCAGGCTTTCAAAGCCACCCAGTGCAAGCAGCCTGTGGATCTCTGAGTGTGCCTAAATGGAACATCTCCATCCACTGGAGTGAACACGCAGCCTTTTTGTATTCATTTTGCTGTTACATAAAAGCATTACCGGGGACAGCGGCCCGCAGAAGGAACCTGAGAAGTTGCTCAGCTTTCTGTTCAATATTTCCAAATGAATTCCAGCCTTTTTATAGCATTCTGCYGTGGTGTTTGCATGGGTATTTATATCTCCATGTGATAATACTAAAGGCAGCAACACGACATAAACATGATGCTGTTTCSTTACCTTTTCTGCAGATCCTGAATTATACAGGTTTATGCAAGTCTGATAAGGGAGAAATACATCCATTATTCCAGCTAGAAATGCATTATCCCAGTGTGTTCAGGCAGAATTTTTCTTCTTCCTGCAAAGCTGACAGTCAGTTCCTCTTTTTCTCTGCCTCTTGTCACCTGGCAACTTATATTTTATACGACGGGGGAAAATAAATGGAATTATTGCAGCTTAAAAACCCAGACTGGGACAGGGCAGCGAGGAGGTTAAAGAACATCTCCTACTTTGGAAACTGATATTACAACTGATCTGCTTCCAGCTGCAGGAAAAGGAAGAGAGGTGGGGAAAAAACAAGTTAGGAATACAATGGGAAAAGAAATATTTAAAATTGCACTCACCCACTGCCTTTTTCTTTATTTTGTTTTAAACCCGAGCTGGAAGTTTCTTTGATACTTTGTAGGGAAATATTTGAAGGGGAGTTGAAGAAAGGAGGCTGARGAGCCACAGAAGTGGTTATCTTGTGAAGATAATGGCTTTGTGTAATGTTCCTTGGAAGTGCTTGAAAGGGGCTGATTGGTTGGTATATTTAGATTTCATCTTTTAAGCATTTACTAATTATCCCAGTCTAGATGGATAAAACTAATCAAATAGCTGTTTGGGAATGCTCTGCATTTGGAAATCTTCCCTGTTCACAAAAGGAGGGCAAGTGATGGCGGGGAGGAGCTTTTTCTTCTTTTGTCCCTCTCATCTTTCTCCTTTTTGCAAGTCCATAAACCCAGAGATTTGGAGTGGTTTAGTTATTWAATGTGCTAAAGATTTGCACAGCTCTTCAAAGTAAAAACACTTCCTTGGTCAGGTTTTTATCCTGAGACCTGTGTCATCATTACCTGGATCACTGCCTCCTSTAAATGCTTTTTATTCTGCTGCTGCTTCTGTGAAACAGGTGGGCTTGAAAGCYTGGTCCTTTTTGGGTTTGGAGGGAGCAAAGGATGAGAAAAGATGAGGGTCTGAATGGTGAAAGTGATAGTGCAGGTTTGCAGAATTCAGTTCTGTTATTTCGAGTCGATTTTAATGTGGAATTGTCTGGCTGGGCAGCTGAAACTCTCCAAAGTATCGAGTGACTTTACAGGTTAAAGAAAAGAAAGAGCAATCTGACAAATTAAGTTATAAATTTGGAAGTCTCTGCTATAAATCAGTTGAGACCCGGAGTGATTAGAACACCAGGGCCAAATAGATAATTATCTATTAGGTGGCAGATGGCTCACTGGTGAGAACAAAATCTAGAATTATGGATCTATTTCCATAATTTTTGTGGTTCTGGTGCCATTTTTCAAATGTGAAATGGCATAATGTTAACACTGATGTATTGTGATGTGTCAGGGTTGGAATGGCATAAAATATTCGCTTYTAATGCTGGTGTGTCATCAGAAATGTGCCCGGAACACCTCAGCACACACCTTCCCCTCCCTCCTGCACCTCCCAGCTCCATCCCTTCCCCTCCAGCCTGGAATGTGGGATTTGTGCTCAGAGGAAGCTGCTGTCAATGTGCAGCCCCCATTTTCAGGACCCTCCCGAATCCCATCAGTGGTTTGGAAGCCGAGGTGCTAAATTTGGACTGGAGAGGCAGCTGCAGGGAGCCAGAACGGGCACGGTGGTGCAGATGCTTTTTTGGCATCTCCAGCTTTTCCAGTTGCTGCTTTTTGGAGCTGTCAGCGGAGAGAGGAAAGCTCGATGCTGGGAGCTGAAAAGCTGCCACGTTCTGCATCCTGCCTCCCAAATACCCAGGGTTTAAAGGCGGTGTGTTCAGCTAAAGGGAACCTGGCAGCTCGATGAGGCAGCACTTCCAATCCCATCCATCCTCTGTCTCTCTGATTCTGTGCTCAGCACTGAGCAGAGAGGCAGAGCTGGAGACAGCACAGCCCAGAAAATCATTGGTGGGGGAACTTTTGAGGGACAAAGGCAGCTGCCATGGCTGAATGGGCAGATGGGGAATGAACGGGTTTGTTCCATCATCTCTCGGGGCCCTGATGGAGTGGGGCACTCAGGGAGCCTGGCAGGCCTCAGGCTGTCCCTGCTTGCGTGAGGAGATGGAAAAAAGAGGAGATTTTCCCTGCAGGAGATGAGGCTGAAGGGAAGTTTTCCATCCCCTTGCTGCCATGGAGGTGTCTGCAGACTCTGGGTCCCTGTGCCAGYTGGGGTCACTCTGGGCCRTCAGCAAAKRAGGGGTTAAAGGASTTGAGGGAAGGAAATAACTTTAAAWTTCATACTCAGCTTAAAATGAGGCTGATTCAGAATTTCAGCGTTAGGAGTTTTAGGGAACAACAGAATCATTTCCACATCCTGTGCCTGCCCAGGCTCCCTGAGTGCCAGAAGGGTGGGTCCTCCTTCCTCAGCTCTGATTGAGGGCACAGATGAACCCAGGAGGTGCCTGCCTGTTTCCTTCTGCTGCTGGGAA